CGGGGACAATGTATTTATCTGAAAACCTTCTAATAGCCTCACTGTCCCCACTGACTAGTTCACTTTCCTCAAACAATCGCTTAATCTGAGCTCGAGGCTGGAAGTCATCCGGCTCACGGCCATCGGTGGGAGTTGCACTCCAAGAGAGATAATGGAAGTTTGGTAGCTTGCCATAGTCGGGATATGGTCGTCGAGTTGGAAGTGGAGCGCTGGTAGTCTCATCCTTCTCGCAAAATTTACATAGTTTGCCACTTCTCTCTTTACACGACATTCGCCTATACTCAATATAAAGCTCACCTTTCTCACAAAATGCTATTTGAGAACTCAGTATATTCGCCCTTTGGGTTCGGGAACCACCCCAGATCTTCATCTTTCCACTTCTCTGGACTTGTACTTTCACTTGTTCCCGCACCCGATGTGCTACCAACAGAGTCAGAGGAGTAGCGGGCATCCTTTTTAGAATGGAGAGTCGGCAAACAGCCACAATAGCCACAAGTTGCTCCATCTGACCTCATGAAATCCTGGCATTCTCCACAAGCGCATTTCCCTCTTTCTATTCCTCGCCCACCCTTGCCCATTTTCAAGTTTTCACCGTGCAACGCCACGCAATTAACTGCTTTGTGCGCTGACACGGTTATGTGAGCAACACTTCCGGTCAGTTATTTTCACTTCCGGTTATTTTTGTCTTGGAGGAGGTGGGGGGAGGGTCAGATCCTTTTGGTTAGGCATTTATGAAGGGTCATGCATTAATCCAATCTGGAAAGTGGGAGGGCCACGACTGTTTTGGCAAAAAGTTTCTAAAATACCCCGGCCCACCCCCCCAATCAAAAACGTACCTTCCCTAATGAACTTGGGCCTATATTTGCCAGCCATTCTGACACTTCGTCGTCGGATATATGATTCTAATTGTCCGCCATTTGTTTTTTTTCGTAACTACAATCCAATTCTTCGCTTGCGCGATGCGAGAAAACCTGTTTACCCGGTACTACAATAGACGAGTACAAATACTTTCTGGCCGACAGACATTTCATTTGGATATACAAAAGCAGGAATAGCCTCTTAATATGGAAAATTTGATAATATTTCAGCTTTCTTTCGGTCTTTATTAATGTCTCCCTTGCCTCAGTCTGTTGATTTAAATACTCCTAAGCACTAATCTCACAAAGCAGTATAGATCAGATGGTTTCATAATTACGAGGGAAAGAAACGTATTTATTGGCATTGCTTACTTTTAGTGACGTATTGTAAGGCATCATTAGTGAGCAGTGTATTTAATGTTATATCAGTAATTTCTATATTGAAGTAAAGAGTGTATTGCCTGGTACATAAAGGTAAGTAATTTGATTAATGTCAGTGGTGTAAACTACATGTTAGCATTGTGATATTTGTGTCTTGAAAATTATATAGAAAAACGGTTGTAGTCGTGAGTTAGCGAGAAGGTGTAACAAAAACAATTAAAAATAAAAGTTCATTAGCTGCGTCAGAATAAACTAAGTGTATTAAACTTTTACAGTAAGTCATGCGAGAAATTATTTTTATCGCAACAACGATTTCAGAGTTGAAGAGTAAGAGGATTTTTGTAATATTTATTCTCACTCAAAAGCGAAACAAAAAGTGGACTGCTGTCTATAATTTTAGATTTAAAGGGTTTTGTTTCTCCTTGTGAGCGTGAAGTTCCAGTAGGAGAATAACCAGATCAAATTTGGAAACAATTTAGTACGTTTTGAAAAAGTCTCTTGGTTACCTTGGAGAGCGATGTTGTTTGGTGACTGGTACCTGTTGCCTTTAACAAGGTGTAACAGTGTTTCGCCAGTTGGATGTAATTGGCTGCTACGAACATCAGTTGATGTTTAATATATGAGTGACAGGTGACAGGACCACTCCCCTCGGTACATTATGCATTATGAATTCGGCATCCTTTTCTGACCAACCAACCGCAACCATGTCACATATCGAGGGGACATTTGCTTTTCTATGAATATTAATTAGCGTGAGAAATGCCTGTGATGTTGCTATAGACAAAGTAGCGTGTTTGTAGTTTGCAAAAGTTCGCTGATAGCCATCAAATCAAGCATCATTTTCAGACGACAAATTTTTTCCGATTGTGGTTCTTTATAAGAGAACGGAAGATACCATAATTACCACAGAAGAAAACGCAACTTTCCCACTCAGGTGAACGTTACGTTCTTCATCGACAGCACCAGAGACAAGCAGTCAATTGGAATCAGTTTTGTCGGCGCCTATGGGATTTATACCTGTTGTTATTGTGGTGCTCGGAGTACTTGTGATGTGTGCTACTGCAGGACTAAGCTGGATTGTGTCTTGGTATCCAATGTAAAGGAAACTGTACGCCACTATCAAACAGCACTGCACATTTTCTCGCCTGGAATTTCGAGCGTCTGACATGAGGGACTCCCGTGCATGAACTTGTTGGTGCGACAAAAAGAAAAAAAAAATACGCATATGTATATTTCTCTTTAGGCTTGTCGAGTGCTTTACTTTAATCACTTCGACGATTTTGTGCTTTCATCTGTTTGGTTGCATATTGCGTAGGTTGAAGGAAGAGTTGATGTGCTTACTTAGTTCAGTCCATATGTTGTGCGACGCATTTTTATCGGTACATCCTTAGAATGCGAAATGAACCTCCAACTCCATATGAGGCTGAAACGTTAGCTTAGTTTTAATGAACTGTTGTAAATACGCTTGATACAGGAGCATTTTTCATGTTACCTGCCAGGAAACTCGTAAATTGCAAAGCTTTGTTTGAGCTGGGTTTCAATGCTGACTTGATTTCAAGTTGCAGGTTCTTATTCGACAAGTACCTGTTAAGATTCCGTTATCCCCGTGACAGTCTCATTGGTTGGAAGACGTAATTGGGTTTCGATGGAGAACGAATGTTTTGTGATCGTATGTGTAAAGTGAACTGGCTCGCGAGAATAGAAAAAAAATAATAAAAGAATAGTAGAAAATGTTGACTTTGTCTTGATGATTAGACATCTGTTGTATAAGATCGCGAAGAATGTTTATAAACATGAGACAGAGACTGAACTGTACAAGTGCGACCCACCCAAGCATTTCATTACAATAAATTTGGAATACATACACCTTTATGCATAAATCTGCTTTTATTCAAGAACCACGCGTAACATTTATATGTGTGAGTTCTGCCGGTAGTCACTCGATCTCAATTGAGTAGTTCACACTGATCTAAATTCTGATATGACTCAGCGAAACTCTCTCCCACCACAATGACGTGACTTTTTTAAAGACTCCCCTTGCCGCCTTTTTTTTTTTTACTAAAAACAGACGCAAATATGCATTCATATTTATCAAATGTTGTAAGGGGACACTGTTTTACAGAAATTAAACAGCAGGTAAATCGTCCCTCAGTAGTCCATATTTGGGTCTGTAACGTTTTCAGTTGTATAAATAAATACAGAGCGGTTCTTAGTAAAGGGGTTGAGGATGTACGGTACTTTCTCGCTCTTGGACTAGGTTTACACTAGTGGACGGAAATTGTTTCGGATTCGTAACGAATCCGGTACGTTTTGGTACCACATTCGTTTTGCTGTTTACACAAAAGAAGACAAATTCGAAATTAAACTTTCCCTCTTTGGTCGTATCTCCGGAGATTTTTAATCCGAAATTTAAGGTTGGAACATCGAATCCGAAAAATTTTGAAGCTAATTCATGTAAACGATTTGATGAACGAATCTGTTTTCTTTTCCGCCTGCGTTCTTTAAAGTTTGCTATCCTTTCTTGGGTGATCAGGCTAAGAGAACGGGATAATCCATCCTGTTGTTCATACAACGTGACGAATTCTTTCCTGACATCTTCGTATTTCCTTGTGATACTCTCCCGGCCTGTTCTGAACCTTCGTAATCCTTTTGGGAGGAAGATGCGCAATCGACTCCGGGCAGAAGTTCAACTTCGTCCTTTGTCCAACTTGATAGACCGTCTTGCCCCTTTTTTGGGAAAATGTTGTTGTCGTCGATCGAAGCAAGAAACAGCCTTACAACCACTCTATATTTTCGGATTTATTTCGGTGTGTTAATGCCAGTTGGGACTCCAGATACACCTCAAGTGTAAAGCCTATGAATCCGATAACTCTAAAACTGATGAATTAAATTTATTAAATTATTAAATTTAAATTTATACCGCTCAGTTTCTATAAAAATATTCAACTGCGAATTCGGTAACAATTAATTCGGTAACAATGAATTCGGTAACAATTATGAAGCCGAAAAAAACCTCTGACAGTCTGGACCTAGTCTCAGAGTTCATCTGTAGTACAGAGATTTCAAGTGGAAAATATGGTATATATAGAATTTGGTCGGGACGTAGAAAAGTATGCGTGATGGAGACGTTCGACTGTGTAATTGAAGCGGAAAAAAATTCGTTGTTCTTGTTCTTTGATGATGTTTACAAAATGTTGATAAGTTTCGTCGAGTGACTGGACTCGTACTTCAGTATCAGTAGAACAAAACTTAAGTTTTTCGTTCGTGACAGCCGATGACTTCATGACATCAAAAACCTTTAGATCCTAACTTACATGGGACTTTGTAAGTTCTTAAAAAAAAAAAACTCCTTAAATAGGTCGGTTGAAATTTTTGTTCGAAAATTTCAAAGCCATTTCAACGTCCTTTTGAACCGTCATGTTTTCCAAACTTACAAGTGTCATCAATGCAAATACAAGCTCACAATAAACAGTGACAAAGCGTGTCTGCTATGATATAACTTTGATGGGCAGTGTAAAGAAAGGTCTATATATTCTGAAAAAGCCACATGTATTTGAGATGTGTCCAACTAGCAGACAATTCAATCACTCAATAATAAATAACTAAGAATTTCAGAATTTGTATAAACATAACATAACTAAAAAATCTTCAGGTCAGGGAGGTTAGCAATACAGTTCCGCGCATATTTCATTAATGGAAGCCAGCTTCTCAACTTATCGTCAGATAACAAAACTTATAGGATTAAATGACGGCTTTCCGCATTGCAATTAGCATGTCATGTCAACGTGTTTCCTTGTATCAGGCCTCTTCCTAAGAAGCTTCTGAAAAGTGTGTTTTATTCGTCCTAGAGTTTGGCGGACCAGCAGGCCCTGAAGAAGAGTTTTCTTGACCAAAAAGACACTATGCTCCTTCATAATTACACCTCCATGATTGCCATTGCCACGGAAAAACGTTTCCTTGAATTAAATTTTCTATGACCAAATTGGCTAAATTTTCTACATGTATTAATATTTAATGAATGTGTGCGATAAATTGCTTCATTAAGCATTCATGTCCTCGCCCAGAAATGTCATTTTACGTCTTTTACTTTTTTTTAGTCTTTTTAAAGGAATTACTTTTGGGAAGGGGGATTGTCGCTGTTTGGCGTCACCTTTTTCATCCAAAATCTTACTTTGACTTTTCCTTTATTCTAGTTGTTTTCTCTTTCCTTTTCCACGAAAGGAATGAAAATCGGCAAGACATCGAATATTGAGCACTTAGTTTTACCAATGTTACAGATTTTAGATAAATACTATTTCTCC